ACGTCACCGCGGAGGGGAGTGGCGGGGCGGGAACTCGCCTATTACCGTAGTAACGCGAGCGTTACGTTACCGCCGCGTACCGCTGGGGAGGTAGGGGTGATCCATAGCTCAACATGTCACAATATCATTTGAGGTTCTCACAGCAGTAATAATGAAGAGTTCTGTCTTCTGGGATGTAGCACCTTGTAGTCTGTGGAAAGTCAACTGACATTGCAGAGGAAAATGTTGCCTCCATCTTCAGGGTCAAAGAATAAGCCAAAGAAAGAAAGGAATAAGCATTTTGCTTGCCACCTGCTTTCACACTGGTTTCTTGCTTAGCTTATTCCTCAATCCTGAAAATGGAGGCGACATGTTCCTCTGCAATGTCAGTTGACTTTCAACAGATTATAGTCAACTGACATTGCAGAGGAAAAACTCTTCATATGTCACTGTCATATGTCATATGTATATGTCACTGAAACATTCATTTTAACATGAAACACAGTTTATTATTAACATTTTGGTCAGTTGACTTTCAACAGATTATACAATGTTATATCCCAGAAGATAAAACTCTTCATATGTCACTGTCTTTTATTTTACCCCACTGGTGGGGCCCAGTGGTACAGGCATTTTAACTCATTGAAACTGACTTACGTATATAACATTTTTATCAAATTTATTTTTGAATGAAGTTTTATAAGATATAAACAGAAGACTTTGGACTTTTAAATTTCAAAACTTATTTTTGCTACTGAAAGTATAAGTTTAAGAATGCTGATAGTCTACGAGTATTCAAGAAATACATATCCTGGTTGGAATCTGAATGTTCCTTTCATTGAAACGGTTGTTTTGACAGTGTGACAATATAAGAACTCACAGTAACTAAACAATTAACTAAATGTGATATGTCTGTTTTAACATTATTTTTTTTTTTTGCTTTATATTGTACGCGTATAGTTTTATTGGAGCACAGTCTGGAAGTTAATGGCTCTAACCTAGAAACCAATGATTTCAGAAAGGTATAACTCATGTAAATTGAGAACTGTGTCATAAGCTTTAAAATTACTACTGCCCAGTAGATGTATTTTTTTAATTGCTAGTGGGGTGGGAGTAAGTCCCTTGTACTCTGTCCACTTCTGGCCTATTGTACCAGCCCCAGATGATAGGTGAGGGTGATTGTGGAGCAATTGGTGGAATGAAGATTAGGAGGGGAAACCGAAGTACTCGGAGAAAACCTGCCCCAGTGCCACTTTGTCCACCACAAATCCCACATGACCAGACCTGGGATCGAACCCGGGCCGCTGCGGTGAGAAGCCAGCGACTAACCACTTCAGTAGATGTAGGTTTAAAACACTTTAGAGAGGTCCAGAACATATAAACACAGAATTTCATGACCTACCTGAGAAAACAGAGTCATTCAGTTCATTGAAGAATGGTGTTGGAATTGAGCTAACATAGCATTCAGAATGTGTAATGTGTTCGAGAAATGTGGCCCTGGTATTCTATGAGACATAAGGCCATGTGAGGGGATTTTATATATTCCATAAGTTTCTGTTTTGAATGTCAGAGTCACTTGATGTAAACTGTTCATCAGAGAGAAACACAAATTTGGGGTAGTTAACAGACTGCTAACCACCAATTTCTGAAACACATAAAACATCAGAGCTTTTTGAACACCACAGTGTAGAGTTAAGTAGTGGAACAGATTTTTGGGACTATCATCTAGTTGAGTGCTGATGTCATTCAATATGTTTTCAGTCAAAACATGTTTTCTCTTTTTGTTCAGTACCAAAGTTCTGTCAAATTTTTACAGTATTTTATATATTAGTGTCTGCGTTTCACATAAATATGGGATGTAAAAGTAAAGCTATCCCTGTACCAGGCCGTGAAGGCCTATAGGGTTGTGAGAGGTTGAGGGTCCCACATTATCTAGACAATCAGCTCAAAGATGGCGGTAAGGTTGTCAGCCTTACGCGCTGGCCGCACTTTACTCCCTGGGAAAATTATTTAATTAATTCCTGGTACTCATTTCTGTTAGAGGCTGAGTCGACCCCAGGGCCATAGTGCGGCTGGAAGGATTAGGTCAATTGAAAAAATCCAGTGACCTCATCGGAACTTGAACCCGCGACCTTCTGGCTTGTAGCATAGCCCCAAAAATTACTACAGCACCTTTTCCATGATGAATATATTATGAAGATTTATATAAGCGAGTACCTTGGTTTGATAGTCTATGTCATTTCACAGCTAAATTATAATGGTCTTGAATACTGAATTATTCATGCACAAACACTTTAAGCCTTGGTGTTTTGCTAGTAGGCTGAAATTGGTGGCTATTGGACACCCAGTGTGGGAGAGTAGAAGAAGTGAGGGCTGGACAAACAACAGCCCACCCACTATTGCCCCTGACCAAGATCAGAAGAGAATTTTGTGTCTTATCTTTTCACTCCAAACATATTACTATTTCCTAGTATGTTTCCACTGTGCATACATATGGAGCTTAGCATCTTGCTTTCTTTGATTTATGAATAAGATTGTGAAGTGTACAATTAAGATCTAGCATAGGAAATTTAGAGAACCAAGGTAAGTAAATATTCAACATTAGTGGTACAAAATGGTGTGCGTTAATATGAAGTGAGGGTTTAAATGTAATTTTTTCCTTTATGATTTAGTTATATTAAATTGAGAGTAAAGATAGAAATTCCATTTTGGTTGTTCAAATAAATATTTGATATGAGATACTGTTGCAGTGTATACCTGTGACTGAACTTTGTGAGGCTTCATTTAACCATTTCTTTTTCAGAACCACGACAGTCTCACACAACAATTGCAGTGGTAGACCGCCATTCAGATGGGACATATGTCCTCAAAGCGTTGAAGCAAAAGCTGTTTGTGGATGGACTGTGCTATCTTTTACAGGAAATTTATGGTATTGAAAACAAGAACAATGATAATAACAAGGTGTGTTTTTACTGTCACATTTATGTCAGTCCTTAAGAAACTGTATATCACTGATTTAGTCAATTGATACTGACTTTAATTATAATTATCATCTTTTATTTTATGTCAGAGATTTAATTTAGTCTATGCAGCATCCATCACATGTACATAACATGGTTTCAAGGAAATATTTTGACTTCAGGGAGATGGAAGTAACTGGACAGTGTAGGCTGCTGCTTAATGAGAAACTTCATGTTCCTTTCTTCAGGATTTGCAGCCTTGATCTGTTGTCAGCCTCTGGGTGTAACTTTGGCTTTCAGGATTTATCCATGTCACATATTGAAATTGCTTCAACATTTTTGCATATATAGCAGTCACCGTCTTCATGGTGAATGATGTAGTGGTCTTACAGTGGGCTGTGGAGCATAGTGCTCTCATTTGGATGGGGCTATTTGCTAAAGAAGACTCATTCAATTCAGTATAATTGAAGCCATAGCAAACATCCATACATACCATCCCTGCATCTTGAGGGAAGCCATGGAGATAGTCAAGCACCCTCATATCCCCAACTGTGATTACAAACTCAGCAAAGTGTACCAAAGTGTACCTGTGTGTGTTTTCTTCCAGTGTTTCTTCTTAACCATGTCATTGCTTACATTTGGATGGTACTGGGCTCCATGCCTCTATCTTCACTCTCACTTTGAGACCTATACTGGTTCACTTTTTCCTTCCACCTCATTTACCCTGCATTGTCACAAAAATGTTACAACAGCTGCAACATATTTTCATGTGTAAAGGGTTAGCATGACAAATAATTGTGGTTTCTAGATTTGATGATTGGATTTATTGGACACTCACAAGTTGTAACTACAAATAATTATAACACTCTTAAAGATTACTGTAGTTATAATGCATAAAATAAAGTCTTCAACAACTGCTTGCTTAGTTGTTGCTTGTTGAAAATGTGATCTGGTTAACACTTCAGCTATTGAATATGCTAATATTGATGAATTTATGGACTTTTATAAGGTGCCTGAGAACCCAATAGAAATCACCACCTCTAAGGGTTCCACTACTGTTCTTCATGAATTCATTGTCTTGGAATCTTGCTTTAATTTGGGTCAACGCTTTGATTTTTACAAGCATATTTGTCACCACAGGAATGTTTTTAGCTAGCCATTGTTTAGCAGTAACATAGACTGAGGGTGTTGAGGAGAATATTTGGACCAAAGAGAGATGAAGTCACAGGAAGTTGGAGAAAACTGCATAATGAGAAGCTTCATAACTTGTACTCTTCTCCAAATATAATTAGAATGATCAAGTCAAGGAGGATGAGGTGGGCAGGTCATGTAGCATGAATGGGGGAGACGAGGAATGCGTATAGTATGTTGGTGGGAAAGCCAGAAGGAAAGAGACCACAGGGAAAGCCAAGGTGTAGGTGGGTGGACAATATTAAAATGGATCTTAGAGAGATAGGGTGGGATGGTATGGATTGAATTGATCTGGCTCAGGATATGGACCAATGGAGGGCTCTTGTGAACATGGTAATGAACCTTCAGGTTCCATAAAATGCTGGGAAATTCTTGAGTAGCTGCAGAATTGGCGGCTCCTCCAGAAGGGCTGAGTAAGTAAGTAAGTAAGTATGTATTCACTGATATATTGGGTTTCTGGACTTTATCCATCGTCCTAGTTTTTAAGATAACAAAAAACACGACAGATCCAGTTTCTGAAATGTCGTGTTTTTTGTTATCTTAAAAACTAGGACGATGGATAAGTCCAGAAACCCAATATATCAGTGTGTTATACACCATCGTCAGAATCCTATAGTAACTATAAGTATGTATTGTCTAGTAGTAGGTGTCTCTGCTGTGCTTCGCTGACTGCACATTTCTGGCATTCAGGTGTCATGTTACAACGTGATACAGCTAAATCTCAGAAGCCAAAGGTGTACACAAGGAAGGTAATGATTCATCTCCATGACCTAGTTAGGCTAGTGAAGTGGAAAAGGTTTCTAGCCTAGGCATTTATAGGTACATGAGGGGCAGGAAGTTCATAGGGAGTTTACAGGATAGAGGTGTAGTTGGGAGGTTAACACTAAGATGGATCTTAGGGATGTTATAATCTGCTGAACATTGATTTTGTTTCAGAGTGCTGGAGATGAGGATACAGAAGACAATGGTTCAGAATGTGTGATATGCATGTGTGATGTAAGAGACACTTTGATTTTGCCCTGCCGACATCTCTGCCTGTGCAACTCTTGTGCTGATTCTCTCCGCTACCAGGTTGGATGTGTGAAATCACTCTTTACCAATATATCAGTGATATATTTTCATTAGTCAGATATGACAGAATATGTAGTGAACGGTGTTGTGATAAGGAGAAGTTGTGTAGTTGGAGAAAAGAGAATGGGATCTGACTGCTGTCTTGTCGGGACAGACAAACTACAGATAATTGGATGTGGCCAGGCTTCAGTAATTATATGAGGGGTCTGCTTGGACACACAGCATCCTTGGGGTATAGGTTGAGGTCTTCCCTTAACATTATCGGTAGCATGTAGTTTGTTGATTGCCGAAAGAGGGCAAATCTGTGAAATTTTCTGTAACAGTGAAATTTATAGAAGAGTTAGGTATCTACTGAAGGCATGAGTTTTATGCTTTGTAAAATATAATTTTTATACTTTGTTATAAGGTTCAAAATGAGCCAAAGCCATTTTGTTTAATGTCATTGTTTCTGTAGGAAGTATTTTTGTTTAGTTGTCTGTAAAAGGATACTTTTTGGGGTTTGTAGGCTCATCATTTTATTTCCACACATGTTGTGCCTAATGATTTTTTATTAAGAGTTCTGAAAATAAGGTGACTTTGATGCCATTTGAGAATTGTCATGCTGTTTTGTAAAAATGTACAAGTAATTATAATTTTAAGAGAAAAGTCTTTGTCCTAGAGGAAGTAAAATATTTTTCATGATTATGCCATATATTAACATTTAGAACTGCAGTCTCTAAGCATCAGCCACATATCATCATGACAGGTGTACAAGGACCTCAGTTAATTGCTTAGTTTGAGAGAATTGAAAGGGTTAAAATCTTTGAGTGTAGAATTTACATACAATTTGTGCTCTCTAACCAACGTGTTTCTTTATGCCTAATTAGAAATGTGGTTTTAGTCATCTGGAGGAAAGTAACTTTACTACAAAATTGAAGAAAGATGGTTGTTTGGTATGTTCAGCCTTAAGTACTTCAGATTTTTGAGGATGCTTTATAAAGACAGCGTGTAGCAAGTTCTAGAAGTTTCCATTACAATACAGAAACTTATTTCTGTGTTCTCCCATTTGACTCTACCTTTTTTCTTGTATGGTTCAAACATTGCCAGTTGGTCATGTGTTTCTAGAAATGATGCTGTTGACTTGTCTGGAAGCAATGGCACAGAATTATTAGTTCTGTGCTCCTTCTACTGGCTGTATGGAATTTCGACAGCAGCATACTGTGACTGGGGTTACATGCATGTTACAGTGTTATGACACTATGAAAGGAGGACACTTAACCTTTCCCACTATGCATATGGTTAAAAGATCTACTCAGGCTAGTAGCTGAACACAAAATGAGTGTCACAACAGAGCAGATAGTGGTAATATGGACTCACCTCAAAATAGCTTTGCTAACTTATTTATGGTGAACACAGCCTGCCTTCTCCCTTCAAAACCCAGCTGATGACACGTTATTTAACAAGCATCACAGCAGAAACATTTGGAAATGTTATACATCCTTGTCTGACCAAGAACAAGTAATTCAGGCCAGAATTCTATCCTGTTTATGTGTGTGTGAATGTATATATCAGTAGAGTTTGCCTTAGCCTTGTTCTATGTGCCAGGCATTGTGTTTAGCAGCAACAATATAAGAGAACAATGTGTAACAGAATTTTAGAGGCACTTAATATATACCATTATATGTTTTAGGCAAATAACTGTCCCATCTGCCGAGCACCCTTCCGGGCCTTGTTACAAATTCGTGCACTACAGAAGTCCACCACAGCTCCCCAAGGGGCCATCTTGCCTCCAGAGGTAACCAGTGAGCTAGGACTTCAAGAAGTTAGCTATGTTTATTACTTTTTATATCTTAGACTGAACTCTTTATCTGTTTTACCAGAAGCTGTAAGCCATACATGAAACAGTTATCAGAACTACTGAAGTTCAGTGAAGTGAGGTGTTGGTAGTCTGCACTAGTTAGTTAGTTAGTTATTGGAGAGGGTGGGTTTCCCCATGCACTGAGACCTGTATTGGTCCAGTGTGCTTCCCCCTATGATTTCTACCAGTCTCTATATCCTACCGGTACTGGTGCTTACCATCAGTTCCGCCCAACCAGAGAGACCGGCTCTACTAGCTGAGAGGTATCTATAATGCTTCCCCCATCTACCGGAGGTATTAGTGACTGCTGTTGGGCGGGAAACGTCAGTTAATTTGGCTCAGTGACCTCCTTCGGAGATACGAGGTTCTTTTACGTGCCGTAAAGCTACGACACGGGACCCACGGCTTAAAGTCCCTCCCGGAGGACTTGTTTCCTGAATTTTTCCGCCCTTAAAAATTCCACGACCTCCACTGGGTATTTGAACCCGCGTACTACGAGTTATGAGGTGGGAACGTTACCTCTAGACTACGGAGGCTGCTTAGTCTGCACTAACAGAGTTACCAGTTCAAAGAGTTCTTTTGATGGGGTGTAACACTCGAGATAACTTGAGTTTTTGAACAGCTGCAGGCAAATTAAATATTCTTCATGATGTCCAGTGTAACCCATATTTTACATGAAGTTCAGATCATTATTAATTCTCTCAAAAATAGTTCATGATAGACAACATAAAATATAGAACTCAAATAGCTCAGTTAGTATAGTGACTAGGGTGTGGACTGGGTATCCAAGGAGTTGGTTTGATTGCCAGCAGGGGAAAAGATTTTTCTCTTCTCTGCAGCATCCAGACTGGCTTTGAGGCCCATCAGTCTCCTATCCAGTGGGTACCAGGGGCATAAGAGCCAGATCATGAAGCTGAGCTCCATCTAGTTCCAAGATTATGAATGAATGGAACTGTACCTCTGCTCCCCCTTATATCTTCTTATTTTGTGCTTAATTAAGCACAAGGACATCTCTGCAGTTGCCTTAAGCTCTTTCAAATTATATTTTAAGTGATTTTTTGGTTTGATATTTAACATAATAAAAGGAAAACTAATTTTTGAATTTGCAGCATGATTCCTGTACTGTGATTGTCTTTGTAAGGATAAATGAATATCTGGGGTAGTGATATTATATTGTAGCATCCTGCTGTACTTCAGTTAGTTCAGATTGTTTCACAGCCTCACATGCAGCATGTCTTTCTAAAAAAACCTTACTAAAACTTATTCTGTTTAAAAGTTTTACATATAATATAAATTTTAACTTATCAAAAGTTATTCACTACATGTTTTGACCCATAAGGTCATCATCATATGTTTTAAAATTATAAATGAGGAAACTGCTGTCCTTCCTTATCATGGTTTTTGTTTGTTACTATGTGGTCTGTTCTGTCTGCATGTGTATTCGAAGTGGCGGGTTGTTCTGCCTGTTGTGTTATGCTGCGGGTCCCTCTTGCTAATGAATTGAGTTCATTATGAGTGAAAAATGTTATATTATCATACATCCTATTCCCAACAGTTTCAGAGCTATGGGTATTTTCAGTGTAGCACATGTGTGCAGCAGGAATGTGTGTGTTTATTCAGTCTAGTGCACTGTTAGCATGTGAGCCAGTGAGCTGTGTAGTCAGGTCATGTTGTATTATAACAGAAGCAGCTGTGTTTACATATTCCAGTGAAGAATATGTGGGTGTGCATTATACTGAGTTCTGCAATGAAAATGCCAGTGCTGCTGAGGAATATCAGCAGTGAAGAATATCAGCTCAGTGAGTGTTTCTTAATATCCACGAAGTTTTACAAGAAAATGGCATGTTTGCAATTGTGTCATTTGACAGGTTGTGATTGAGGAGGGGGAAACTTTACTGAAATGCCAGCACATCCCACACATCAGTACTCAAAGAATTTTCTCCTGCTTCAGTGTTCTCTGAATGAGAATTTGGAGAACATTAAACACTGAAGACAGTATCCATACCATATCCATCCAGCATATTCAGCCTGCAGACTTGGGTAGGCAGTTAGAATTCTACCATTGGTTAACTTCACACCTGCATTTGCATCACTAGTTAATCACATTTTATTCTCAGTGAAGGCAACAATACAAGACCCCCCCCCCTAACATATGAACTCAAGACAGCTCACACAGAAAGTACTTGTAACTTCCAAATTTATTTCTTGGTAAGTGTGTGGTGTGATGTCATGTCATTGGTGACCAGCTGCTAGGAACATACATCTTGCCACAATGTATGATAGGTGACATTTACATGGTATTTTTTCAAATGAACTGCCAGACCTCTTGCAGAATGTTGCTTTGTGAAGACAATTGCAGGTGTACTCCAGCATGACAGAGCATGCCTGCATTATTTCAGTAGGAATGTCATGCAGTGTATAATTTCTTTAAGCTATGTGAACTATACAGTGTGATCATTTTATTGTTTTCCCAATAAAGTGCCCCCCCCATAACACTCCTTGAGTTCAGTCTATGAGGATAATTCAGTAAGTAAGAGATTGGATTAATACTGGTTATTGATGGTTCATTTGCCTTCCAGGTAATCACAGTAGATAGGTCCTACGATGTTCCAAAAAGTTGTAAGCGTAACCTACCTCCTGGTGATCTTTTTGAATTTATTTTTGCTATTGACCATGAACATTTTGACTCCACACTTTGTGTCTTTGATTTGGGCTCAAACTGTTAAACCCAAGTTTCATCATTAGTCAACATGAGCAAGAAAAGCCCTATTTGCAATGGACTAGTGACTTTTCGATAACCAGCAAATTCAGAGTCTTCCAGCCTTGTCAGCTGTCAATTAATGGTGCCTATCATCATGCATGCATCTTTTTTTCTTTCAGAAATTCATCTTATTTTGATTTGTGGAATGTACTGGCCTGATGCTTAACAAAAATGTCTCTGCAGTTAGCTTGAAATTTACCCATTAGTTTTCTCAGGTTATTCATTCAGTACAGTCTTGAAGATGTGGAGTGGGAACTGACTAGTCTCATAGAATGGTGTATGTCGTCATCACTTTTCTGACTGACTTTTAATCTTTTAATCCACTTGTACATGTTTCTGTGATTCGCGCAAGCATTGCCATAGTGTGGTACCATATGACTATATGTTTACCGCACCTTTAGTGTTCAAAAATCTAATTATACTATGCTGTTCAGTTAAATTACAGTCCTATAATGTTGCTGCCATCGTTAAAATTAACATTGCATGCAAACTACTGGCAACAAAGAATTGGTGCAGCTGCAGACAGGTTTGCAGATCTTATTGCCAACTGTTGCCGGTTGTGTTTGTGGGGTTGTAGCTACGCACTGATCTCCATTTGTAGCCAGTCACGTTTTGTGGTTGCTTTTGAAGTTGGAAGCCACTGGTAGCTGTCACTTTGTGGGTGCTGGCTGTTGGCCAGAGATGGGTAATGTTGGCCACAGCTGCACTCTGGTGAAAGTCAAGTTGGCCGCAGCTGCCTTTGGTGAATTGCCTTTAGCGATTCTGCGGAGGTCCGTGATGATGTAGCCTCACCTTTGTGGTTTTTGAGTGCCACCCAGTCAGGGTACATGAGACTGTCACATGGTGATTAATTGGGCCTTGGCTCCAATGAAGGCGGTCAAAGAAACTCGTGACAACTTTACAACACTTACACTTTATTAGTTGCTTGTAGTTACATGTGTTTATTACATTTTGTGCTAAGGACCAGTAGTAGTTTGTGCGAAGATGGAACACGTACGAACACGTCTGCACCGCTTGGGAACTAGTTAGCTTCTCCTCTTGACAAAGGGCTTTACATCACGACAAGTCAGTGTTAGTATGATGTCATACTGGAATTTCAGCAAGCCGATTGGCTATTAGTGGGAAGTACCGCTGTAAAGCTCCTAGCTACCTACTCTTTGGGCTTACATCATACATTATAAGAACAAAGAGAGGACTGAATCTCGAGTTTCATAAGAAGTCATAGGATGTTGAATCATCCTAATTCAATATATGTTCATGGCAATTTATAATGCATGATAATGTACACAGTTCACTCAAACTCGTAATTTAAGTTTTGTTAAGATACAGTAGTTACATAAATGAAGGTATGCATAAATTAGGCGAGGTATATTACTGAAAGGAGTAATCGGTTACACAGCTTTTATCACAGAATTCCCTCTACTTCTAAAATTATGACATTTGTGTCTTTACTTATTGATTTACCCTTGTACATTTCTGATTCCCATAGTTCCAAAACTATTGTGGATAGGACCCATGCTCATATAACGTTCACTCAGACTCAGTTATGACATAAAGTCACAGGACTTTTGTATAATCTTTTGTTAGTTTTTCCAGTACTGATTTGAAATGCTTTGCTTTTGAATGTTGTTATTTTTGTTATAAAATAATATGTGAGAGGTTTGCTTTAATTCTGCAGGGAAGTTGTGAAAACATTCCAGCGGGCTATGAGTCAGTGTCCCTCATTGAGGCACTCAATGGGCCTTGTCCAACGCGATCTGTACCTGCAGCTCCCCCCTTGGATGTTGCTGAAACTCCTGACCAGGAAGTGGCTGCACAGGCAGTTGAGGTGCTCAACAGGTCTGATGTGGTTGTGATCATAATTGTACTTGACTTATAGTGTACATAAATACTGAATGTTGAATGTGTGTTTGTACTTAACCAGGTCCAGCATTGAGAGAACTCCATCATCACTGAAACAAGCTTCCAGTCCTGAAGAGTGCATGTTAACAAAGAGTCCAAGAAGCAGTGCATGCCACACTCCAGAGGTATAACCTTACAAGCCTAAGCAGTAACTTCATAGATTACTGAGCTGTTGGTTGTGTCAAGAAATGGAAACGTTCCTTAGCATTAACAGTTTGGGGTAATGGGGAAGTAGGATGACTGTTGTAGTCTAGTCCAGATTGTTTTTACAGAANAGAAATTTTTTTTTTTTTTTTTTTTTTTTTTTGCTTCAAGGAGGCTTTTGTCAATAGATTTTGAAGCTGTTCATTGATGCATGCATATTGATCATGAACATATTCTGAAAAGTTTATGTAACAAGTGGTATGTGGCAGTGGTCCACAGGATGCCAGAATCATACCAGAACTCCTTGTTTTACCAGCTTTGACATTGGATCCAACAGAATAGAATATGGTGTCCAGTGCCCCCAAACTCTGAGTAGGAATTAGTTGTTACCTTGTTCCTTCAGCATTTCCACTTTTATATAGGCTGTCCATCAGCTAAGCATCACCATCTATCTCTGTCTTCCGTTAATGTTAGATCTGTTCAGTATTATTTGTGATGCTGTCTATGAATGTGTGAAGTTGAATTAAATCGTTAGAGCCATTTCAAGAAAGTTATTATTTTAATCTGTTTGCATAAAAAGACTTTGAATGTGTGAGTTACTAGGGTTACGTTCACAGCACACTTTTGCAGAATACAGATGTAGTAGTGGAAGTGATTTGTTGAATCTTCAGTATAGATAATATTTTGGCATGCTGCCTGAAAGCCAGAATATCTGAGTGGCCGTCCATTGCCTGACAATGGCTTGTTAAAAACATGTTGCGAGACAACAAGCATGTTGACCCATTGCTAGGCAACAACCATTAGATAAGCAGTTATATAACAGCTGTTGCTATGTAAACAATGGCAGTTGCTAGGCAGTGGTTGAGTAGCAATCACATGGGCATCCCAACAGACGCAAATGCAGGAGTGGCGACAGCAACAGAGGAATTGTGTTTTCTGTGCTGTCCATGCTGAGATGTTAGAAGCAGAACAGTTGGAGCAATGAGTTAATTGTGGGACAGTCATTAGCCATAAAGAATGTGAGCTTGGAAGCAGAGGACGTTGTTGGGATGCATCAACAGTCAATGACTGGTGAAGCCTTAGTATGTGCTGTAGTGAACTGCAGAGTGTGTGAATTAGCGATACCACTATAGTTACATGTGGGGTATGTGGTAGCGTAGTGGTTAAGGTACTATGCTACAAGCCGGAAGGTCATGGGTTCAAGTCCCGATGAGGTCATTGGATTTTTTTTCAATTGACCTAATCCTTCCAGCCACACTAGGCCCTGGGGTCTACTCAGCCTCTTAACAGAAATGAGTACCAGGAATTAATGAAATAATTTTCCTGGGCCCACACGTAAGGCTGACAACCTTACCGCCATCTTTGAGCCAATTGTCAAGGTAATGTGGGACCCTTAATGTCTCACAACCCTATGGGCCTTCATGGCCTGTTACAGGGATAGCTTTACTTACTTTTACTTTTTTTTTACTATAGTTATGTGTAGTTACAATTTGTAAGTGTTCAGTAAATCCAGTTACCAATCCAAACCTCATCTATAGTCACTCATACACATGACAGTCTATCGTCAATATATGAAATCTGACATATGGTGGTAAGATGGTTGTGTTGAGGAAGGAAGTAGTTCCAGCCTATTTTAAGGCACTCTCCCAGCACTGAAAATGTTAAATTACACTTTTGAACCCGGTTTGCAACAATATACTCATGCCTTCGTTGTTCCAGCAAACCACTGCTAACTGTTAAGTGCTGATGTATACAACATGCACCTTGATTATAAGAGCAGGCAAAAAAAGTGCTTGTGACTTTTGACTAAGTATGGCATGTCTTCATGTATCCCTCACCTGTTCTGAAGTTAAAACGTCAGAAGCAAGATATGGAAGGAACTTGCATAAAGTGTGGTAGATTATCTTGAGCTGAGCATGTCTTTGAAGACTGCACTCCTCTCAGATATGGACATTTTGCATTTGAATATTTAGGTCTGTGATAGTTTGTTACGAGGTTTTATTTGTATTATATGCTTCAGTTCCGGATGTCCGTACTTCTGGCTAGAGAAGAGGAGAGTCACAAGGATCAAACAACAAAGTCACCACTGTTAGTTCAACACTGCAGTCGCCCCAACAGCCGTGATAAGAGTGCACTCAGGCCTCGTGACACAGTGAGGCTTGTTAATGAGAAGACTGTACTTGATCAGGATGAGGTAATGTTTAACCCTTTAATTGCTGCATACTCCCACACCAGATTTTCTGACTGAGATTTTTGACAGCTTTGTTCAATCTCTCAGGAAAGTGCATGGATAGTACTTCAGATTAGATCATGGCTTTTTCCCTTCCAAAATTATAATTTACTGATCATTTATCATTCACTGCATTGTTGTCTGAACTACTGACAATATTGCTAAATAATAAATAAGCAAACACATTTAAAATATGACAGTTGTGGTTCTTATATCAGTGAGTACCAAAATTATGGTTTAGGATGTGGTCATATAGTTTGGTAGATGTGTAGGAGTGTTTCTGTAGGCTCTGTCTTCAGGGTAGATAAGCCAGTATTCTGAAGATCAATGCAGCAAGTTCCTCCAAAACATTGGCATCCATCCACCAAACCACATGGTTCCAAAATGTATTGACGCACTAGCATGGCAAGAGACTGTCAGTTTTGGTAAGTTTAACTCAGCTAAAAATTCTAGAGAATTTCCGTGTGGCATCTATATGCCTGTCAGTCACATACTACATTTCATCACATAATTCATGCACACTTTTCCTAAATTTTATATTAAAATATTTGGGTGCTTGGATTATGCCTGGCTGTATGAAAGTGATTTGTCATTTAAAAACGTATTTCTTCCTTAGACACAAGATGAAGACAGCGAAGCTGAGAAGTTGTCTCCACTCTTGGATGCAGCTACTAGTACTGACCCTCTGCCCCTTGACTCTGTAATGGTACCACATGGTGATGTTCTTGAGGATGATGATGATTTGGAGATGAAGGTGGACGTTGGTGAGGGTGAGGGTGAACTAGCCACTATGGCCAATAGTAGTCAAGGTACAAATATATGTTCACATCCATAATAAGCAAAATGTTATTGCAACAGCTTTGTATGCCATTTTGGTGAACTTTAGCGAGGCTGAAAATTCATTAACCAGTACCTCATGGAAATGAATATTGGTTAAAATCTGTATCAGATTATGCAATTTATGCATCATACCAACCTTATGGAAGAATAGTCCTGGCTCTTCAGTGAGGTCTCCCAGTATGGTGCTCCTAGGGATCATCATTGATAGGTTGCACAGTGTAATACCAACCTTCATGAAACATTTGTATCTATCAGTATTGTCATACAGAGTCTTACAATGAAGAAACTCCCATAAAACACATCTGGTCATCAGTTAACATTGAAGAAAGAACAGTGTATATATTGTTTTGTTATTTTCACATAAATATAGCATGTTTCTTTCTCCTTTTATTGTGGCTGTAACAGAGAGGTTGTCTGCTATAACTTCATTCAAACTGAACTTAATAGTTTTATCAAAAGTAACTCATCATACAAAATCTTAGTATCCAGCCGCACTATGGCCCTGTGGTCAACTCAGCCTCTAACAGAAATGAGTACCAGGAATATTCTTGGAATGTTCTTGGGGATAAAGGGCAGCCTGCGCGAAGGGCTGACAACCTTGCCGCCATCTATGAGCTGATTGTCTAGAAAATGTGGGAACCTCAACATCTCACAACCCTATGGGCCTCCACAGCCTGTTACAGGGATACCTTTACTTTCTTTTTACTTTACAGTATATGATGTACATGAAGTTAATATATCTTTATTATTTGTTTAAAACATTTTTCAGTGTAGTGAATGCTTACCAAAATACAGGAAGAACAATTATGACTCTTCAGTGTGATATCTATAGCCTGATTAGTTTTGCAACCGTGAAGTTGTGTCTGCAATAAATTAACTTAAAGCCAGTGATGCATTTGAAAATGTGTGGATTCCAAATTGATGTACACTTTTCCAATTTTCTTTTTTTTATCATTAATTCATAAAATAAATACAGATTTTTTCAAAACCTGCATCTTGTATTCAATGCATTGTTTGATATGTAGCAGACAACAAAGAAAAATAATTTATGACTTGATACAGTATGCCTACCTACCTAACTACCTACCTACCTACCTACCAGTTGGTGCTACAGCCCTGGTTGAGCCTTGGCCTCCTCTACAGCCAGTCTCCACAACCAATATGTGCTGCCTTAGGAATGGATGACCCGAGGCTGGTTGTTAGGTTTCTGAATAAAATTCATGCCCAACCCCCAACCTGGAGGACCTACTGGTAGTTAAACTACTGCCGGCATAGCTCTCCAGGTCACAAAGTCACGCAAGCCCCGCCACCACAACAAGGTAGAGACACTTTTGGGGGGATACCTTATAATAATTGGCCTGTAACTGCAATAAGAGAGTTTATCTGTATATCAGGCATGTGTGTACAAAGTAACAATACTTTGAAGGTGGCCAGACTCATTAATTGTTAATAACAATATATTTCTTTAGTGCAGAATTGGTCCACTTATAGTCAGACCTTGTGTTGCTTGCAGGAAATAATGTATGATATTTGGTACTGAACTCATGACAGCTGGATACTTGTAAATTGTATCATTTTTTCAATATTCCTGTACTTATACACATATATGTCACATTCTTGTGTTATGAATTAAAATTTTGTACCTTTTTATTTTCTGTACCAGTTTCCTTGCATTTATATCAACCTTTGGATCATCATTCTACTTCATGTTATGTTATTTTAATATTGTCTACTACATGGTTGAAGTGCTGATAGTGGCCTTTTTTAATCACACAATTCGCATTTATTTTGTTGTACGAGGGTTGGAACTTTAATAGTGGCAACTATTTATTTACAACTGATACAAAATAGATGCATGTTTTGAAGTTTTACTGTCATTCAGTGTAGTCACCAGCATTATGTACAATCCGTTGCCAGTGATGTAGAAGTCATAGGATACCTTTAGCAGCACCTGTTATGTTGATAGTTCGAATGGAGTGGTCTACTGCCTGAAGAATCTCTGGAATGGTTCTGAAGCGAATGCCACAAAGTGGATCCTTCATTTTAGGAATCAAGTTGAAGTCACAAGGGCTTAAGTCCAGGGAGTATGGTGGATGGTACAGCACTTCCCAGCCCCATCGATCGAACAAATCTGCCACAGCTTGCGCTGCATGCGGCTGAGCATTGTCCTGCAAAATGATGGGTGGTTTCTGCAAGAAAGTGTCGCCGCTTCTTTCTCAAGGCTGGTCACAGGTTGTGTTCCAAAAATGAACAGTAATACTGCACATTGACGGTCTGCTGTCAGGGAACAGTATGCATTAGGATAACACCATCACAGTCGTACATGAGAATCACCATAACTTTCACATTGCTGGGGTTCTGACAAACTTTTTTCGTGGTGACCTGTAATGACGCCATTCGTATGATTGGCATTTCATTTGTGGCTCATACGATTTGGCCCATGTCTCATCCAGTGTAATGATACAGCATAAGAAAGCCTCTCCTTCACGCTCATAGCGCTCCAAGTGGTTATGAGCAGTGTCGTATCGTAGCCATTTCTGCATTTCCGTCAAATCATGCGGAACTCATTGTGATCCAGTTTTTCTCATGCCCAGGCATTCCTTCAGAATGTGAAGCACAGTCGTATGCGCTAATCCTGTCTCTCGAGCCAGCTCACCAATCATATGGCGTCGATCACTCTCCAGTAACGCGGAAAGAGCATACACTTCTTCTTCACTGACACTAGGACAACCTGGCCGATGCATGTCTGCCACATTTTGATGTCCCACGTTAAGGCTTCTACCTGCCTTGCCACTGTTCTGTAAGGCAATGCAGATTCCCCACAAGCCTCTTGAAGACCTTGATGACACTGTCATGCTGTATGGCCTCTGGCACATTCAGTCTTTATCCAACTCCATTGTTCCTGTTTTGAAAACGTGACAACACTGCATTAGACCGCCAGGTAAAAAAAGCTCTGTTCTTCCTGTCACTGCGCATGTGCGTGATGTGGGAAGGGAGAGTCCATTTGCTCTGAGGTAAGGTAGGTATGTAACTAACGTGTGGTATAAGCGACATTTGGTTCCGTTGCATGGCATCTCTGCAGCAGTGTTGCCACTATTAAAGTTCCAACCCTTATATGTATCTTGATTTCAAGTTTGCTTCTAATTTTGACACTTGTGATGTTACCCATCCTTGTCTGTATTACCATCAGATGCAGATTGCTTGTTACAACAGAAAATGAATTTGAGTGATGTCAGTGTTGGTAGCAACAGTTTATCATGTTGGCAGTTGGACTTACTGGGAAGGTTGTTGTGGGAGGTGGTGATGCTGACACAGGACCAGTGGCAGCTGCTGGGGAGGACTCAGACTACTACACTCCAGAGGATCCGCCTACTACCATACTGAGCCCCTTGCATGCAGACAAGGTTGGTCATTAGTCATTATTCTGATATTTTTTAGTATAACTTGCTGAGCAAGTTATTTGTACTTATTTCAGTGTAACTGGGATCTCTGAGTGTTGTTGAAAGTAGAGTTGTAAGAATTGTTTCTAGTCATGTTCAGTCGCATGCAAATTTTCAGTTACAGAACAATTTGTCATAGTGAGTACTGTAACATTTTTAACCCATTGTATGTGAACCAAACATAGTTTTGATCATTTTCCTTAGCATAAGTTAAAGTGTAAAAATCTGACTTTCATACATATTCCGTACAATATAGGGTCTACCCGAAATAATGCTGGTATTTCAGACACCTGCAGCTTTGGGACAAAAAGAGAGTGTGTTGCAGTATTTTATTCATCAACTGAAACAGTTTTTTTTTACACCTAAGTGGAAGAGTTGTTAAACGCAAACATTTAGTGAGCATCAGCTATAGCTCTGCACACATCCCACCTATGGTTCACCATTGGTAACATATCTTTCATAATATTTGCAATTGCTGCAGTGATCCATGTTTTCAGTTCATCAGAGGCACAAGATCAGGAGATTGAGGAGACCACACATCTGGTCCTCTTCCTCCTATCCGTCAAACTGGAAAAGTCATGTTCAAATGGTCATGGTCAATGTGGGAAAAATACCCACATAACACACTCCACATCATTAGATCACCTAGGCCACCCAGTAGAATGTCTTTTTTCCACACTCTGAGTCTCTATAATGCTTATAACATCTCCTAATGCTCTTGTCATCAGGTGGTCTCACACCATACTTACATTGAAATTCAAAGAATGGATTCAAATTTTGTGTACCATAACACAGTCTGTGCTTTCTGCTATATGATAGACATAATACTGGCTGCACAAAACACATAATCAAAGCTGTGGGCCATTAACTACATTCGGGATACTCATGCAACTTGTGTTAGTGGAACTGTTTGAGTTTATGATTACATTTCCTTTATCATCATCATTATATGTACCTTCATTACTGAGTTTCAGATGTTTGAAATCCTGGAATTCTTTTTGGTAGGCCCTATATTTCTGTTGTTCCCTCAAAATCAATGCAAGGAACAGAATTAACATAAAATTTGTCATTCTCTTACAAAGATTCTGAGTACTGTGCGCCTGGCTACACAGTTTAACAGAAATTGCATAGATGTAATACGTATTTGTTCTGTTCTCATATATATCAGCAGAAACAACAACAGGTTAATGGTGATTTATATTTACCCAGAACTGTTTTGACACAAAGGAGAGGATGGAAGGAAAGAGGAGAGGAATAACAAAGCAGACAAATATAGAGGATTGGAAAGGAAGAAGGAAGGGAAGGAGATAAATGTCACATAGTAGGCCCTTGTTATACATGGCCTCATTATACCATTGCTTTGGTCATGTTCCCCAGTATGATTGCATGTTTCATGTTATAGACATTTCTGTATAATGTTGCAGTTACAGTATAAGACTTTTGAAACATTCCTTACTGTAATGTGCTAGTACAGAAGGTCAAGCCCATAGTCTGCTCTGAATATGCTGTATGTTTCTGGTTTCTCTAACCTTCAGATTATTTTGTTGAAACAGCAAAATTTAATGAGCACAGATGGTCGGAAATCCCACTTAGCGGTTTGATGGGGTAAGTAACTGCAACATTGTACTGACCGTTTATCAAGAAAGTAGCACTGCTACAGTAATGATGACCAATACAGAAAATTGTACAACTGTAGAAAAATTTAAAATTTCCAAAAAAGTTAAGAGTGGTGAATTGAAAGCTAGTCTATTCTATGAGTGTGGAATTCCAGAACTAACAATATGCTGGTTGGATGAAAGAAGACTGATTGTGTTTGCTTGTAGATTCCAAAGAAGATGGCCTATGATTGCAAAGGAAGAAGAATAGACTCCATGAAAAGAGTTACATAGACGAATGCATATACGTGGGTAGGCTGAAAAGTAATGCACACATGCTTGTAGAGCGCGAACAAAAACAAATAGCAAGATCGGGCAAAAAATACATTAAAGTACAATTCTTAAGTTTTAAAAGCATATATTTATTTTTCAACATAGTCACCATTAAGGCTAACACATTTCTCCCAATGTGTAACAGTTTTTTCATTCCGTCACTGAAAAATTCTTCCGACTTTTCTCGAATCCAGGACTTGACAGTTGCCTTCACCTCATCATCCGAGGTGTAATGATTACCCTTGAGGTCTCTCTTGAGTAGAGGAAAAAAATAAAAATTGCAAGGCGCAAGATCGGGGGAATAAGGAGGGTGTGGAATCGGTTCAAACTTCAGGTTTCGCAAAGCCTCTTCAGTTGCGCGCGAGGTGTGTGGACGAGCGTTGTCATGTTGCAAGATTATTGGTGCCACGCTGCCTCTAACACGACAAACTCGACGCCGGAGGTGTTTTAGAGTAGGTATGTACTGAGAAGAATTTACCGTTGCCCCTCGTTCCAGAAAATCGGTCACATAAACTCGGTGAGCATCCCAAAACACAGTCAAAAGAAGTTTTTTGGCAGATGGTTGTGTTTTGAACTTTTTCGCCTGAGGAGAAGACGGATGTCGATATTCAGCGCTCTGTCTTTTCTCTTCCGGGTCGTAACGATGGACCCATGACTCATCCCCTGTCACAATATTCAAAAGAAAGTCGTCTCCTTCATCACGGTAGCGCTGCAAAAGTTGCTCGCAGCATTCCAATCGACGCTGTGAGACGGTGTGGTACCCATCGTGCACAGATTTTATGGTATCCCAATTGTTCAATAATGAAGCCGACACGTTCCTTGGATATTCCAGTATGGTTTGTGATATGCTTTTGAGTGATTCGCTAGTCATTTTGAATCAAATCGTCGACGAGTTTGCAATAATTATCGTGTGTGGCAGTGATCAGACGTCCGCTGTGTGTTTCATCAACAATTATGGCTTTTCCAGGCTCGCAACCATGAAATTTTATTACCCATCGATTTACAGTAGACCTATCAACAGCATCATCACCATAAACAGCCTTTAAACGGCGATGAATCTCAGTAGGAGTCACTTTTTCAGCAGTTAAAAATTTGATAACAGCACACTGTTTAACTCGCGTTGACATAGCACTAGAACACGTCTCCATACTTCTGCTTCTCGAAATACACTGGATGAACGCAACGACCTCAAACCTGCGCATGCGTATTGAGGGGGAATGTTACTTCCACATGCCACTGGCGCGCTTCTGAAGGTCATTTTGTTCACGCTCTACGAGCATGTGTGCATTACTTTTCAGCGTACCTACGTACAGTTTGTTCCTACAAAAGCATAGTGAAAGAATGCCTATAAATGGGGTAATTTTGAAAGCTCAGGCAATTCAGTTGAAAAACTACTCAGCAGGGATCGGACGTTTAAAGCTTCTGATTGGTAGCTTTGGAGGTTGAAGGTTTGGCATGGAATATTGCAAATTATCATTGAAGGTGAATCTGCCGCTGGTGACAGAGCCGGACAGTTTCCTGATACCGTTTTACAAGATTGAAGATGATTTTCACAAAACATCACTGCTTCCAAACAAATCATTAGATCTTTGGAAAGCACCCAGGAGAGCAGATATGAAAATTACTGAAGAAAGAGTAACCTTGAATGTCAAGCATTGTGCATCAGTAAATGTTTGAAGTCCTCAGTGTTTCAAGCTTGTAAACATGACTTCTCTGCTTGTGATATACAAGAACAGTTCTGGTGCTTCAATGGCATGTGATAATTTTGCTTTCTGGTTGATAGTGAATTTTGCCATCAGTGAGAAGTGATTTGCATCCCAAAAAACTTGAGCAGAAGGCCTTATTACTGTTGGATCGCCAGCCCAACCTTCTGCCAATATCCTGAAATTGAAAGAAGAGTTATATTTCTACCAAAGAATACCACTACACTGATTCAGTCAATAGGTCAAGGCATCATTTCCTTCATAGCCTACTGTCATGGTGGATCTGTAAATTCTAAACTGCGAATTACAGAATTTCTGAAGATAATAACAGTAAAGGATGTTGGATACACTGTTAATTTAGCTTGGTGGAAGGTTATGCCACATACTATTGCAAACTGCTGGAAGAAGAGTACCGGAATAGATGGCATCACAGCTGATGAGAAAAAATAATTCCATTTCCAAAAGAATTTGAAAGCTACATATGATGCACTTGGTATTAATTTAGAAGCAGGTAACTTGGCAGCTTGGTTTGAGGTAGATGCAGAAACTCTGGTTGTGCAGTATCTTGGTGAAGAGGATATCACAAATTCTGTGGAAAGTGGGAAGACAGCTGATGAATTTAGAGCCTGTGATACAGGAAGTGACTCAGAAAACAGTAGTGATGTAATGGTTCCTCTGAAACAGTGGTACCAATTAAGCAAAGGCCTAAAAAATGTCAATGAAGTGATGACATGGTAAGAACAGCAGACTGGCAGTGAACATTATCATTTTCTGCTTTAAAATTATTGTCGTGTCCATCTTAATGTCATTCTCCCATCCCTTTTTCCGTGCTAAAAGTGGCCACTTTCCAGAAGTTTTCCCAACAAAATTCGGAATGTATTTCTTGTTCCCCTGTATGACATGTTCAGCCCCTAGTGACCTACTAGATTCCACCACCCTAATATGTACTGTATGATCTACAAGTCATGTCATCCTTCATAATCCACTGATAGCTCTACATGAAGTTTTACTTCTGTGTTTGGCTTTCTTGTGCCTTTAGATTACTCCAGTTATGTCCAGTTTTGTTGTATATTTGTCACTGTGTTCATATAGGTAGCCATTATTTCTCCCCCATTTCCTTATCTAGTTAGATATAAACCTGCTTATTTCTATGCATGTCATTAACCATGGCTACCTTCTGTTTTTCTGTAGAATCTGTTCATTATAGTGCCACAGGTCAGAATTGTGCCTTGCAGTAGGAAGACTAGGATCAAAATGCTGCTATTACAGGTTCAGTTTATGGAAGTGGAGGCTGCAGACTTATATATGACTGGTGAGAGGCGAGAAGACACAC